TATACATTGCAAACAATAAATACACAATCCAAAATAAAAACACCTCTGCAAATGAAGTGAAAACGTTTGCTCTGGCAGCGCTTCGCGTCAACGTGTATATGAGGTACATTGCACTTTCGAGATTTAATCTGTGCATAGGTGCATCTTTGATGTGCAGCTCACAGATCCACAATCCAGCACGCTTCTGTTTCTCTGACCGTCAGGCTGGCTGACCTGAGGTCACGTCAGAGCTTTATTTTTCATCTATATGTAACAGACAGTTGGTAGCTCTCCTTCCACGCATTTCATACGACACAGCAGGCAGACTGCTGGTTGGTTGACCAGAGTTTTTTTTATGCCTGTCTGCATTAACACATCTCGAGAGGCGTAGGCGCCAAAAAGTGAATCCGGAGCCGAATGTAGCAGCTGCAGCACGGCACACAGAGCAAATATTTTCATAGGGTAGTATCAGAAATAAGACCTTTGAATATGTAGTCCCTTTAACTTCTTTCCTTCTATTAAACCCTTTGAGAAACAGCTATCCAGTGTACTCCTGATATGTGCTCTTATCATTTGTTCCTGATGATCAAATACAATCCTGGACTCAACATATGTGGCTGTGTCTCTGTCCTTGCTATAGATATGTGTTAATGTGCAAAGTAAGGTTAAAAAAAATTAAGAAATAAATGCCCTCTGTTACATTTCATAAAAACCTTCATTGTGGAATGACTAAAAGCGTAAGAAAAGAAAATAACAATGTTTAAATAAAAATAAAAAATGAACACAATGAGAGTTAGATGAGGTTTTGATTCAAGAATAAGAATAGAAAAATGAACACATGGTTCCCTGTGGTGCTGCTGAACACGAGTACTTCACTTCAGAGATTTCAGCCGACACTGGTGTGACAGCGAGGGGAGTCATGGGACTACATCGTAATCTGTCCTGCAGGCCATTTAAAAGCAGCTTTGCTGGCGTCAAAGCAAAAAAAAACTAAAGAAACATTGCACCTTCATTCTTTTTCCTTACTTCCTCCCAAACTTTCCACCGTGTTTTCTTTGCATCTTTATAACAAGAGTGTAAAGTTAATAGCAGTAAATGTCAAGGCTTTCTGATTCTCAGTGAGATAGAGCGAGCTAGAGGAGCAGAGAGGAATGTGTTAAATGAGGGTTAACTAACACGCTGATCCCAGAACAGACCGCATGTACAAATCAAGTTCTCCCTCTAGTTCGTTTTCATCCTCCTAGTCCTCCTCCTCGTCTCCTTGTAACCCTGTTTTTATTTCTTGGGATGAAAAAGCAAAAAGGGGCCTGAATCTACTCCTGCAGGAACAATCGGTCATTGTTTTTGTTTTTTAAACTGCTGAGATATGAAGCGATCCTCGCTTGTTTGTCTCTAGTTAGTCTGCAGTTTTTATGTTAACACAAATGCATGAGTATTTTACTGACTCACTAACTGACACTGGCACTATCGGGGGGTTAGAGGCGGCGTATGTACACAGATTGAGGAGGATCTAAGTATGACGTGGATGACAGTGGAAATCCGGCGTGGCCCTCCTGTCAAAGTTCATTCCCACTTTGAGTTTTTGTTTCAGAGACGGTTCAGCCTGATGCGAATCTCACTGCGAGAAGAAAAATACCCTATAAATCTATTAGCAGCTATAGTTTAGGTAGCAGAGCGTAAACTAACACGTCACTTGGAGAGATCTGTAGATTTTTCCTTCATGGTTTCAAATGTAAGCTGGCTGATTTGGTTCATTTTTGTTTTTTGTTTTAAACTGAGCAAACCTGGTCTTCTCCTGAGGACTGCTGCAGGTATCATGCAAGCATTTTAATTTAATAAAAAAACCAACAACAAAAAAACCCCAAAATAGAATGAAACTCATTTTCAGGAGACAAATAACACTGATAGAGACAATTTTTTTGTACAGATGATTGGCAAACGGAAAGTTTCTAAAGAGTCGTGCACACACAAGTAGACTACTACAACATGCTACTTAGTTAGGGGAGTTTGGGAATGACAACGAAGCGGAACAAAATTAGACCCGAACATTGTCATCGAAACAAAAACACAAAAAGCTGAGGGGAGGGGATAGAGAGGAGGAAAGCTAAGTTGGCAGCGGGGTTGCTGGAGGGAAGCGGGGAGGCAAAAGTTCTGTGGAACTTAAACGTTTGAGTCGCATGAAAAGAGACTTAAGCCACAAGTCTACTTACAAGAGAAAACCGTCAAGAATCACAATGATTAATAAGTTTTAACACTTGGTATTTTCGGTATTTTCAAAGGCTTTTCAGAAAGGATGGAAGCGGTGGTTTTCCCGCTCCGCCCGCTCAGTTCTTCGTCAGACCGCTGCGCCGCCTCGCCAGCTTAGATCTGCGGGGAGAGTTTTCCATTGTGAGGAGGAGGGAATGTTTTTGAAGGGTGCAGAAGCTGCACGTTTGACTGTGGTGTGAGAGGAGTGTGTGTGTCTGTGTGTGTGTGTACCTTATCGTTCCTGCTAGCAGAGGATTAAAAGCGTACAGCCAGTCGTTCATGTCTTTCTCGTTGTTGGCCTGCAGGAGGATGCCTCGATGTTTTGTGCACACTGCAAATGTGTTGGGCGTCTGAAAAGAAAACATCACATTATATTCATGTTCATTCAAATGATAAATCCCAGTGCATTTGCCATTTCAGCAATCAATGTGTCCAAAACTGAACAACGTGCACCAAAATAATTGGAATAAATTCCCATTAAAGAAAAGCGCGTTACATCCAGCCTTACCTTAAGCATGGCCTGCTGGTCTTCGCTGTATTCCACCTGTGCTGTGGAGAGGTTGAGGACGCCTCGCTCCACAGGGTCCTTGTCGCTGTTGTAGATGAAGACGTAGGGCCGGCGAACAACCACAAAATGCTTCACCCATGAGTTAGAGCGAGGCTCCATGAAGCTTAGAAAACCCTTCTTGGACACAACAGATCTGAAAAGAAGAGATTTTATTCATTTATTTGTTTTTTAAGAGAGCACTTGTTTTCTGAGGAAGAAGCAGAGTTGGTTTGTTTCCAGCTGAAATCATCCAGGCTCAGGAATTTGAATCAATCCACATCATTTCTGCTTGAATTAGAGAACATGAGTATCGACTTACATTTGGTCTGTGAGACACATGTCATAGTGACAGTATTTGGGTTAACATGGCATTACTCACCCTGGTCGCATTTCTTCAATATCAGGCACCAAGTTGAGGAACTCGTTCTTTGCAGCCCGCGCAAGGTAGGAGGTCTCCAGAGTGGGAACCATCGGGAAGTTTTCATAGTCTGAGCAGGAGGGACTGGAGGCACGTGAGCTGTTCTCAGGGGTCCTTTAACACAAATCACAACAAGTTAGAATCAAATAGATGACCTGTCAATAACCGTTTGCAGATCGAGGTCAATGTTCCTAAAAATGTTTACTTCTGGTCCATGGAGCCACAGCGGGAGTCCGACAGAGAGGGGCAGGTAGAGGAAGGGGTGAGGGTGGCACTGCTGAAGCTCGTCACGGATGGATCACGTCCGATCGGTGAGATGTCAGAAAGCTGAAGTGAAACAACAGCAGGATGAGGTAGACGTTAATATATCAGCTCAATGATGTGACACAAAAAGGCAATTTTTTAAAACTTCTTTGTATTATTTCTCACCTTGCAGTCACTGATGCTGTTCACCAGCTGGTTGTATTCACTATTGAAGGTGTGTGTCAGAAGGCGCAGGCACTACAACACAACAGGAACAAGACCGATCAGCTCTGAGTAGAAAATGAAGAAGGCAGCAACGAGAACGCCCACTAAGCCGACGTTTTCCTCACCTTGGTGGCCAGCTCCTTCTCACGATCCACCAGGCTCTCGATGTCGGCGGAATCGTAGCCGCTGCTCTCGCTCGGCGTGATGGCGCTTTCAAAGGTGGTGCTGGAGATCTGAGAGGAGATGGAGGTGGACGTGGACAGAGTGCCGGAGCTCATGCTGGGGGACAGAGACTCGCTCAGGGACTTGGTGGTGGGAGCTGTTCCCACGGGAGCCGCCTCTCCCAGCTTCTCTCTCAGCGCCAGAAGGTGACGGGTCTTTTCCACCTGGATGAAAGATGGGGGCGAATGTGAGGTGGGGAGAAGAGGGGAGGGTTAGTCATGTAAAGTTTGTACTCTAAGAAAAAAGCACTTTCTTCCCTCTACGATATTAAACAGAGATTTATTTCTTTATACATCTTTTAAGGCCCCACCTCCTGCAGCTGCTCCATCTTCTCTAGCTCCCACTGGTGCTCTAGGATGAGGCTATCTCCTCTGGGCCTCCAGCCGGCCAGGTTCTCCTCTCCACGCACGTAAGCCACTGATGTGTCCAGGACCTTCCTCCTCCTCCTCTGCATCCCTGCTCAGGACATGAGCCCTCATTAGGATGAAGCTCTCCACAGAATTATGATAAAACAGCTGCCGTTCTTTAAACATGTTTCATGTCCGCTCACCTGGGCTTCCAGTGTCAGACATCTTACACAAGCTCAGCTCGTAGATCCCAGTCACTCGGTTGCTATAATGAAGCAGAAGTTATGAACAAGGAAACTTTGTAACAGGGCAGATATCTCTGATTGTGAAACAGAGATGGCTACAGTACAGCAGCCCAGATTTACCAGTCAGGAGTTTTGGAGTATCCAGTCCCAAAGAGGTTCTTGAGAGAACGGGGTGGGGAAATCTTGGCGTCTCGGGAGTAAAAGACCATGCAGATGTCTTTGGTGATAATGGCAGGCTGGATGCAATGGTCCAGCTGTAGAGAGGAGATAAAGGGTGTGTGTTAGACACGATGACATCGAGAGACTTGACAGGTGCAACACACTGGAGCAGCGGCTTACCTCCAGATACGCAGATAAGGTCATGTAGATCTTCTCTCCATAGGGAGTGACGCGGTTGAGCAGGAGGGAGTTGTGCAGGGAGCTGTCCCACACTGCCTCAAAGCGATAGAAAGTCCTGAAAAAGAGAGGAAAAGTTAGCTTGACAGCATTATTTTTTATGAAGTCCTACTTGGTGCTAACATTACAGGGTCTCTGTGCAAAGCAGTGTGTCATGTTAAAAAAACGTGAGCACAGTTCTGACATATCGGGAAGTGAACACAGTGACTGAAGCGGTGTTCACATTCATCCTTTAACCATGACAAAACGTGAGGAATCGCACTGAGGTGAGACCTTGACAACAGATAAATTAGACACAGAGTGTCAAGTGTCAGCCGACACCAATCGGGACAATGATAAGAAAGAAATTCATTTACAGACACGTGGAAAAGCAGTCTAAGGTTCTAGATCTGGATTATTACACCACATCATTATTTATTTAAAACCATGCCAAAATGCACAAATGACTATAACCAGGTACATCCTGTGATTCAGCAGCTGATGGAACCAACTTTAACAGCAAAAACTTGGGGTAATGATTTTTTATTAGTGTCTCACAGCAGTGTGGACGGATTTCTGACCCACTTGTCTTTACAATATTGCTTCGGTTCATTGAAGTTTGCAGAAATGTATTAATGCACAGCTTTCTTAACGTCCTGCCACAGCATGTCAATCATATTGAAGTCTGGACTTTGAGCCACTGCAGCACCATTCTGTTGTAGCTTTGCTGCTGCGCTCTGGAGTCACTGACCCAACGATGATCTCTTTGACTCTAGAATACTTCATGGTTCACTCAGTGACCTGGACACTTTGCTGGTTCTTTGGCAGCAAAAAAAGCCCAAATAATCATCACCCGTGCAAAACCACTGGTACGAGGGGTTTGTGCTGATATGCTGTGTTTGGTTTTCACCAATCTTGAAGCTGTGCATTAGAGCTTAGGTTTTCAACTCTGCAAACTGAACCCATGCTGCCATGTTGTATTTAGAGAGAAAAGGGTTTCTCCTGGAAGCCTTTCAAAACATATTTGTTGAGCTTTTTTCTAATTGCACTGCCATGAACTCCAACATTAAGCATGCTAACTGTGGCCTGTAGAGCCTCAAAAATCTCTGGTGAATTTTTGGGACGTCCACTCCTGGGATGATTGGAAACGGTCTTTGATATTTTTTAAAACTTGTGAATAATCTTTCTTGCTGTAAAATGATCGACTTCAAAGCCTTCCCAGATTCATGGGTATCAACAGTTGCTTCTCTCCTCCTCAGTATGTCACCACTCTCCTGAATACGCCAGCAAACTGACAGTCGTGGTTACTGATGATCTAGTGCATTTAATTAGCACGTGGCTAATACTGACCCTCTTAAATAATTATGCAAGTAGGCTTGGATGTACTCACCACATCTGAATTTAGGCTCAGTGTTTGTTAAATAAATAATGACGTGGTATAATGTGTTATGTATTGTTGTTCATGTGAGGTTTACCTCATATCAAGACCTGATTGTTTTTAAATTATGTCCTGAATCATAAAACCTGAGAGCTCACATAACTGCATATGCTCAGAACATACAGCACACGTGGATACAAATGACTGCCTTGCAGCAGCAATCTTAAGACCATCACTATGAGCTCTATACAAGGTTACACTGTTCCTATTATTGACAGCAGGGGGCACTATCAGCCACAGACAGTCAGATACGCTCTGCTGGTGCCTCATTGGCCTCATTGTTACTGAGGTAAGACTCTATAGTGAGAAACAGCTGAGGGGGAAAACATTGATCTGGAAACGTCTGAGTGTTACAGAGGATATACATAGCACCGTGGTTCAGTGTCACACAATCACAAACAAATACAGAAAAGTACTAAAAGCGGTGTTGCCTCCAAAGACTGCTTTTAC